AGTACAGGCTTTGTACGGCTCGGATTCTACAGTTTTCTTACTGCATCATCAGTGTCAGAACTCTGTTCCTTCTGCTGGCTCCACTGCTCCGGATTTAAAGAAATACCTTTCCTTCCTAGTTTCATTTCACCTTCTGGGTCCATCCAACATTCTCTGATATCAATAAGAACTTTCCCTTTAAAGTCCCGAACACTAACGTACCCCATTTTCCCGATCTGAAACATGTTACCCTCTCTGCTGCTGCTGCTCTGTTTGGAAGAGGACAGAGCTCTTGAAGTGTCCCCAGTCTTTTGCTTCTTCACAGGTTTTTCTGGAGCAACTTGCTTTTTCCACTTTAACTTTTTGTCAACTTCACTGTCTGAATCACTGCCAGAGGAGCTTGAGGAAACTAGTTCCTTCAAGAATTCTGCTCCCGCAGTCTTGCACCCTCCTGCTCGCTCGCTTGCTTGCCTGGATTTTTTTTTTTTTTTAATTTCCTTCATATATTCTTTTTTCTTCCCATTGTCTTTTTTCAGTCATGTGGATTCTTAGGAAGTATACTGAGTATCCATTTAGGAACTTACTAATTATAGGAGGTTAGTTACTTCAGGATGAACGAGCCATACTTAGGGAAAGTGGTCATTATTGTTTTCTTTTCATTAAGATATTTTCTTGATTTGCTGTAGCTGCCATACATTTTAGATGTTAAGTAGAGAGAAAAATCATTGTTGAAGAGAGTCAATCTTCTTTGAGCGTAGGAGTTCAAAGCTGCAATGTGCCATGATCACGCCGGTGAATAGCCACTGTACTCTGCTGTGGGCGTCACACTGCTCACAGCAACCTCCAACTCCAGGGCTTAGGCAATTCTCTTGCCTCGGCCTCCCGAGTAGCTGGGACTACGGGTGCCCACCACAATGTAAAGCTATTTTTTATTGTAGTCTGGCCAGGCCAGGTTTGAACCCGCCACCCTTGGTATATGGGGCCGCCCAGCGCCTTACTCACTGAGCCACACGCGTCACCCAAGAGCATTTTTTTTTGGGAGGCGGTTTCACTCTGTTGCCCAGGCTAGAGTGCCACGATGTCCACTTAGCTCACAGCAACCTCAAATGCTTGGGTTCAAGCACTCCTGGGTCTCACTTTTGCTCAGGTCTTAAAATCCTGAGCTCAGGTGATTCTCTCACCTCAGCCTTCCAGAGTGCTAGGATTGCAAGCATGAGCTAGTGTACCTGGCCTGAGAATCATTTTTTTAGATTGATAAATAACTTATTTTAAACTTTATGTTTTCCTATCATGTTGTCATTATCTATACATCTTTGTATTTTTTTTTGACAAGTCACTTCTGCCTAGGCCTGAGTTTTTTCATCTCTAAATTGAGATGCTTTGATAAATTGATTTTTTTAACTTTAATTTTGTGATTTCACTTAGGTTATTTTATTTCTTTACAGGGCTGTTGGAGATTGCGTTGTTTCTGATTTATTTTCTTTATGTGACATTTCCAAAATTTGTTGTCCTTTAATTATTTTAAGAATTCATTTTGCGGCTCGGCGCCTATAGCTCAACTGGCTAAGGCGCCAGCCACGTACACCTAAGGTGGCGGGTTTGAATCCCCAGCCCGGACCCGCCAAACAACAATGATGGCTGCAACCAAAAAATAGCCGGGCGTTGTGGCGGGCGCCTGTGGTCCCAGCTACTTGGGAGGCGGAGGCAGGAGACTCGCTGGAGCCCGGGAGTTGGAGGTTGCTGTGAGCTGTAACGCCACGGCACTCTACCCAGGGGGACAGCTTGAGGCTCTGTCTCAAAAAAAAAAAAAAAAGAATTCATTTTGCTTTCTTTTTTAGGGGAAAATATTTACTTCTCTGGAGCCAGAGCATGACCTTAATGATGTTTGTCTCTACCCCAACTCAGGTATGCATTCTCCAGTCAGATAGTCCAGGCTATACTTTTGTGGGTTATAAACTCATTTTATTTCTTAAGATAGAGTTTGGCTTGGTCAGGACAATTCTTGGGTATTTTACTTACTTGGGATAATTAAGAGCAGGAAGCGGTGTGGATGATCAGAAAATGGCACTCTCAGTGACTCAGTCAGTCCTCAGCCCGCCTGGCTATTAGTAGAAACCTGGAACAGTATACAGGTACGTGGCAGGTGACATGCTATTTTAGGATGCTCTTTTGCTCTTTTACAAAGAGCAAAGTGTAGGGAAATTAAGGCTAGGGATCTGGAGAAGCCATGGGTATTGGTATATTCTACAGTGTATGCTGTTCAGCAAATTACACAGATTTTAGAATTTAATAATACGTTTAAGGCAAATCTGTGAAGTATTTCAAGGTATGAGATAAGAATGAGAACAGTTCCTACTCTCAAGCAGTGTGTTTCTAGGACAGACATACACAAATAATTTTGATAGAAGGACACAGGCAAGGCATAGGAAGTCTTACCACGGAGCACTTTGGCAACACGTTGGAGGCAGTGATTTCATCCAGAGCACCCATGGATGGTGTCAAGAGGACATGTGTCACATCTGGAGTGTTGCATGATTGTGGTTAAATGGAGTTGAGGGCTGAGGTGATCTTCGTAAGAGAACTGTTTCAGATTGGCAGAAAGGCTGGGCATACAGGGCTTGTTTGGGGATGGAGAGGACCTTTATATCCCTTGCTGCAGTGGCTCTAGGAAGGGCATCTGGAGGCAGAGAGTTGCAGGCAGGGGAGGTCTGGGCATGACATGCCCGGTCTTCAGGGTCCACTGTGGTCAAAGAGGACGTGTTCAGGCTGTGCTTTCAGAAGGCAGGTTTATCGATTGTGTAAAGGGTAAATTGGTTTTGAACTAAAATTCTTGTACATCCTCTCAGCCCCAATTTTTTATGGGTATAAGGATCTGTTAGCCCACAAAGAGTATAACTACTTGGCAAAGATAACTTTTTCTGAGAGAAATATCCAGGCTCATCTCAAAACTATTAAGGAACCCATTCTTAAAATTCCACAGGGATGATGGTTGTTGAAGTCACAAAGATGAAGGAGAAGGAGGCTGATGTTCACAGGGAACGATTAGTGATTTAGGTGATTGCTGAAGAAGAGACTTAAAAGTAGAATGGACTTGAGAAGGTGCTGATAATTCAGCCACATATCCCTGCAATACAATTCCCCCCCCCAAGTCATCCTCTTCCTCCTTCCTCCCACTCCCCCCTTGCTCCTCCCTCCCTTCTTCTTCCTTCTTCTTTGAAGGGGGGGACTTGGGGTCCCATGACATTGCCTAGGCTGGAGTGCAGTGGTTTTTCACAGGTGCAGTCCTGGTGTGCTGCAGCCCTCAATTCCTGCACTGCAGCGACCATGTCGCCTAAGGCTTCTGAGTAGCTTAGCTGAGACTTACAGGTGTGCACCAACATGCCTCGCTCTTAAAATGAAATTTTATTTCTTTTTTTAAAGACATTCACACTCTGTTGCTCACGCTAGAGTGCAGTGGCACAATCATAGCTCACTTAAACCCCTAGGCACAAGAAATCTTCCTTCCTCAGCCTCCCAAGAACCTAGGATTATAGCCACATGCCACCATGCCCGGCTAATGTTTTAATTTTTTTGTACTAATAGGATCTTGCTTATGTTGTCCAGGCTGGTCTTGAACTCCACTCAAGTGATCCTCCCAAAGTGCTAGGATTACAGGTGTGAGCCACTATACCTGGCAATATTACATTTTAACAGATTTGTCTAATGGTAAAAATAATGCATGCATTTTTTTAAAATTTATTTTTTATTTAACTTTTTTTTGTAGAGACAGTCTCACTTTATTACCCTCGGTAGAGTGCTGTGGCATCATACAGCTCACAGCAACCTCCAACTCCTGGGCTTGAAGCAAGAGAATTCTCTTGTTTCAGTCTCCCGAGTAGCTGGGACTACAGGCACCTGCCATAATGCCCAGCTATTTTTGTTATTGTTGCAGTTCGGCCGGGGCCAAGTTTGAATCTACCACCCTCGGTATATGGGGCCGGTAACCTACCCACTGAACCATAGGCGCTGCCCAATAGTGCATGCATTTTAATGAAAATTAGAAGTATATCTTTCTGGGAAAAATATCTAGAGCATTTATTTAATGAAGATTAATTATGGTTTGGGGTTTTTTTGTATTTTTTTTGAGAAAGAGTCTTTTTCTGTTGCCCAGCCTACATCATCATTGCTCACAGCAACCTCAAACTCCTGGGCTTAAGCAGTCATCTGGTAGCTGGAACTACAGGTGTACTACTGTCCTCAACTTACTTAAATTTTTTTTTTTTTAAGAGCTAGATTCTCACTATGTTGCCTAGGCTGGTCTCAAACTTCTGTGCTTAAGTGATCCTCCCAAAGTGTTACATGCATGAACCATCATGCCCTGTGATTGTCTATCCTTATACCATCTTAATTGTAGAAGCATTTATAATATAATTTCTATAATTAATGTACTCTTACTAAGGTAATATTTATGAAGAAATGTTTGACAATTTGGACAGAAAACATATTTTTTTTCTTTGAGCCAGAGTCTCAAGTTGTCACCCTCGGTAGAGTGTCATGGCGTCACAGCTCACAGCAACCTTAAACTCCTGGGCTTACGTGATTCTCTTGCCTCAGCCTCCCAAGTAGCTAGGACCACAGGTGCTGGCCACAATGCCTGGCTATATTTTTTTGTTGTTGTTGTAGTTGTCATTGTTGTTTGGCAGGCCCAGGCTGGATTCTAACCTGCCAGCTCCAGTGTATGTGTCAGGCGCCCCAGCTGCTGAGCTACACGTACCAAGCCAGAAAACATTCTTAATGAATAGCATTTTAAAAATATCAGGGGTTGGCAAACTGACCTGTGGGCCAAATCCAATCTTGGGCCATGTTTTTTCACAGCCTAGGAGCTGAGAATAAATTTTACAGATTTAAAATGGCTGGGGAAAAAAATAGAAGAGTAACATTTTGTGACACATGAAAATTATGTGAAATCCAACATTTCATTGTCTTATAGGGTAAAGTTCTCTGTGAATGCAGCTTCGCTTCTTCACTTATGTGTTGTCCGCATGGTTTTTGCAGCATGACAGTAGAGACAAAGACCAGATGGCCTACAAGGCCTAAAATACTTAATACCCAGCCTAGAGATAGTTTGCTGACCTGGTCTGTGTCACTAATATCATAAGCGAGAAAAGTCACTTTATCCCCAGTATTTAAAATTGACAAAGTAGTAGGGTGAATATCTTTATATATATCCTCTGTTTAGATTCAGTATTTTTAATCTTTTGCCACATTTGCCTTTTTTATCTCTGCACGTGTATGGTTTTCGTGGTTTCTTTGTGGAATCACTTGAAAGCCAATTGTAGACACGTAGCACTTCTCCTGCACTGAGTGTAGCACTTTGCTTGTAAGAAAGACATTGTTCTCTTAACCAAAGGCCCTTATCACAACCAGTAAAATAATTCAGTCTTGGGCGGCATCTGTGCTCAGTGGTTAGGGTACCAGCCCCATATATCGAGGGTGGCGGGTTCAAACCCGACTTCAACCAAACTGCTACAATAGCCAGGCGTTGTGGTGGGCACCTGTAGTCCCAGCTACTGAGGAGGCTGAGGCAAGAGAATCGCCTAAGCCCAGGAGTTGGAGATTGCTGTGAGCTGTGATGTCACCGCACTCTACCAAGGGTGATAAAGTGAGACTCCTTAAAGGCCTTTTTAGCCTGTTTTTTTGAACAAGGATGTGATTAAGACTGTTATGTTTAGCTGTTATGTACCGTTAGTATCTTTCAATCCACAATGTTTTCCCCATCTTTTTCTTCCCCTTCTCCAGATCAGGCCAGTGGCCTTATAGAATGCCCCTCATCCTGGATATATGTGATTGTTTCTCATGCTGTTGTTTAACTTGTTTCTTGAACCTTGTATTTTTCCTAAACAGAAATTAAGTCTAAAAGCTTAATTAAGTTTGTGTTAATACTTTGGACAAGGATAATGTGTAGGGTGCTGGCTTCTTAGATCTTATCACATCAGATCATCCTTGTGCTGGTGAGGATAAAGTTGATCACTTTGTTAAGGTTTTGTCTTCATTGCAAAGTACTTCTGAAAGATAACAATTTTTTTTTTTTTCTTAGAGATAGAGTCTCATTTTATTGCCTTTGGTAGAGTGTTGTGGCGTCACACAGCTCACAGCAACTTCCAACTCCTGAGCTTAGGCGATTTTTCTTGTCTCAGTCTCCCTGGTAGCTGGGACTACAGGTGCCCGCCACAACGTCTGGCTGTTTTTTTGCAGTTTGGTGGGGGCTGGGTTTGAACCTGCCACCCTCGGTATTATGGGGGCTGGTGCCTTATCCACTGAGCCACAGGCACTGCCCTGAAAGATAACAATTTTAAGAGTGATGTTTTAGACAGAGGAATGACTATTGCTGTCAAATTAACTTATAAGGAGTTAATCAAACATACAAAAGCTAGCCCGATAACTTGTCTCACAAGATAGCAAGCACAGAGAGACAAGCATCAGTCGTGCGTCTTCCTTTTGGCTCAGATCTGAGTGTGGTGAGCTCGTGTGCTCTGCTTTTTCCTTGCTTTCCCACACTTTTTCCCTTCAACTCTCTTCTTTATGTTTTGTGCTTAATCATTATGGGGTTAATCATATTTTAGAAAACTGAAACCTTCTAGTTTCTTTTTCTTCTCACTTACTCATTCTAGAGTAATTAAAGCCTAATCATGATTTTTGTTTTGTAATGTTTTCCTAATACTAAGACTGCTCAGAATATGGAGAAATGGTCCCGCCTTCCTGGCTTATTTCCCATCCTGACTCCCATTGTTGCTCCAGCCCCCTGTATTGCGTCTCTTCAGCGAGCAGCTGCTCTGTGCAGGCTGGGACACTTGAAGAGGCAGCTTGGTGCTATGACTTTGGTGTGCATCAGGGTCACAGCACAGGGAGCTCGTAAAGCTTACAATTGTCTGAGTCCCACTCCAGACATGAGGATTCAGGATCAGAACTATTGGTAGAAAGGTGAGCGTTGGGCTTAAGAAAGACCTAATTCACTCTCAGTAATGGAAATAGCCAGCCTCAGTTTTCTCACCTGAGAAAGAAAAACTTGTAGGCTATTAGAGACTTCTTATGCTGTTCAAAGCCTGTTGTTTTTTGTTTTGTTTTGTTTTTGAGACAAAGTCTCATTCTGTCACCTAGGCTAGAGTGCTGTGGCATCATTATAGCTCACAGCAACCTCAAGCTCCAACTCAAGCAATCCTCTTGCCTCAGCCTCCTAAGTAGCTGGGACTACAAGCACCTGCCACAATGCACAGCTAGCTTTTCTATTTCTAGTACAGACAGTCTCACTCTTGCTCAGGTGTCAAAGTTTGGAGTTCAAACAATCCACTTGCTTTGCCTCCCAGAGTGTAGGACTGTAGGCGTGAGCCATTGCACCCAGCCTGAAGTATTCTTTAAATGCACAGAAAACAACTATTGGTGTCATCTGCAGTGTCCTTCGTGCCTTGAGTATGAGCTCACAGGCCCCAGGCTTCTCTTAGCTGAGAAGTTCGACATAGAGCAGAAGCATCACTGCCAGTCCCTCTGGCGCAGTCTGTGCACACAGC